TCTTTTTCAGAAAGATTACTTCTTGTTTATGATGCAGCCACGTACACAATCATGCTGACGTAGCAAGGAGGTGCTACTGCCAGATGCTTTGCACCATGAAGCTGTGGCCTAAGTACTACACTCAGGATCACACAGGAAATATGTGTCAGAACACGAAATTAATCACAAGTCTTTAAGCTAGGCTATGTACTAAATCATCCTTTAGGTTTGAGCTTCAACTAGGTAATTTCAAATTTATTTGTTGCAGTTTTTTTTCAGATGTACTGCTTCACTGATTGTCGCCTTCTTATTCTAAGTATAAGAGTGTCCTACCCTTTCCCCTTTGAGAAAGAGGCTAGATGGAGTAGCTTTGATTCCATTAATAGGGCACAACTAGCATTCTGAGCACCCTAAAATGCATTTTACTCCCTAAATTTCTTCTGGGGTACTGTTGTTATGTACACTCTTCAGGGCTGGATAGTTTTGTGAAGTTAGTCTTTATATTATTTCCTTCCTTTTTTCCAAGCCCATATCTTAAACTGTTGCCTAAATTTGGTCTGTTTGCCTGTCTTTTATGCTTGTAAACACCTTAGGGGATTTCTATAAGGTATTTGTTTTGATAGAGTGAAGTACGCATACAATATACACGTACAATATAAACAGACCTAATGAAAAATCTGTTTGATCCAATACTAACTGTCATTCTTGGCTGTTCTACCGGGCAGCAGAAGCCCTGTGTTTTCTGCTCTGGTTTTCATCCTGAATCATTTTAACTAACAGTAAAGATGCAACTGTTTGGCTCTATCTTGGTTTTAAACATGTTTATTCTTATTAAAGTAAATTGCAATTGTTTCCCAGGCACAAAACCAAAAACCATAGAGTGTTTTATTTACTAGAGGAATCATATTAAAATACAGAACTTGTTGATGTATTTTTCAAATCTGTCTTGACAGAAATTATTCATGTTCAGGCAAAAAAATAAAAAAGGAGATGTCAAGCCTAAAACATGGTATTAATCGAGGATGTGCTGCTATGACAGAAAAAGCATTTACTGTCGATTAGTATTTATTGTAGAAAAGCTTGGAGAACATCACTTCCCAGTAAGTGGTCTCCATCAGGAAAGTTATTTTGGATAGCTGCTACACCTAAACAAGTGTCTGCTGTCTCGGGTTATGTCTCCCCTGTCAGATAAAGAGATGTCTGTTATATCAAAGGTTGATTATGTGCTAGCTGACCTGTTAGGGGAGACATGATATAGTTCTGTGGAGGGAGTTAGGTGATGCCAGCTATAGAATAGATGTACAATTGACGGATAGCTACTTCATTGTGAGATCATCTTCATTGTCTCCATCAACATTGTGCAGCAAAACAGCTAGAGCTTATAGGTGGTCCTCCCACGAGGCTTTCACGTCACTGTTCTGCAGAGAAATTGCATCTCTGAGACCTACTGAGTACTGATGTCGGTAGCACTGCACAGAGAGCGGCTTGACAACATCAGTTTGTGTCAAGCATGCAGGGGGAAGCAAGGGTCAGAGTAGGAATGTCAAGAGAGATATAGATTAAATTCTAGGCACGTGGATTTTTATCTGAGATTATTTCATTGGAAGGAATTGTAATAGAAGTGATGGACTTGCTATAAAGGGAGGCAAAGTTCCATTTAAGGAGCATTTCAGCATTTTGAAGTTGCAACTATGATGTTACATTTCAGAGTTATGCTCAAGTTTTGTATTTGCTTGTTCTAAAAGGTATGTCCCATCAATGAAGTTGAGTTTTAATTTCTTGCATTAAGTCATTTCTCCTGTTATCTTCTCTGAGAGTAAAACCCTACTGCAGGTGTAAACATTGCCTGTAGAACACAAAAAAAACCTTTAAGAAAACCAAGCGAAATTCTAAATTGTATAAAATTCCAAGATATAATGTTACTCAAAGGAAGGAGTACCATTTATGCTGCCCTGGAGGTTCTGTCCAAAAGGTTTCAATTATAAAATAAGTAGTACCTATTTGCAAGTGAAAGCAATGTAAAGTATAATTTGAATTACCATTTATATTAAACAATTTATTGAATTGAGATTTCTTAAAGGTTATTATGTTATAAATATAAATTAAATAATTTATAGCTTTATCATATCAATTATCTTTAATCTTTGGTACATTTTAATTACCATTTAAATTGACTAAATTAAGAGATTATTGGGAAAAACATTCTTAATCTTGAGATTTTAACTACTTTATTCTAAAATGTTCATCTTTGAAGTTGTGCAATTTTTCTGTTTCAATTACTTTTTCTTTATGTCTTGGTTTGCTGTAAGAATTATTAGAAAGTGACGACAACTTTAATTGTATTACCATTAAGTGCAACAATTCACCATTTTCTCATAACATTTTAACTCAGGCAAATGCCTACCGAGTCCAGAATAACATAAATTGGTGGGTTAGTTCCTATATATGTATTGCTAAGCATGCATGTTCTAAGTTGTAAGTGTGGAAATAGATTCTAGACCAATGGATTTTCATCTGGAATCCATCTATTTCATTAGCAACAAAAATTCCCAGTAGAAGTGAGACACTGAAGTAAATTCTTCAGTTCGAAACAGAATAGAAGATTTTTTTTTTTTTTCCTTAAGGTACTGGTTCTACCATTTGATCCTTGTTTTGTTTTTCACCTTAGCAAAACACTACACCTTCAAACCAGGAAATGTGACAGTTACAAATACATCATCATGGAGAAAAACAGGAGGAAAAATTTTGGAATATTTATTTTTTTTTAACCATCTGAATTATAGTGTCACAGCACTATTTCGAAACTTGCCGAGTAGCATGTTTTGCTAAGAGCAAATATTTAAATTATAGACCAGAATCTGTTGCTTTATTATCATAACCTAATAGATGGATCAACATGTTATTATTTTTAATGTGGCCAGTGGAGAGAAGAGGAAAAGAAATATTTTAACTGTTGAAATCCACATTCATCCAGAATGGGAAGAAATTACTTCACTCACTCTATTGGAAATGCTGCTCGATTAGCAAGATGAAAATATGATAAAGTTAATAGTAGCAGCACACTAGATCTATGTTTTGCATTTTCTTTGCAAGACTCTGAGTTAAAAAGCAGCACAAATCATTCTAGTGACTGCATTTCTTCAAAATGGAGAGAGAAAAACCCATGAAGCAAAAAATGGGAAGGGCATGGTGGTTACTTCCATTTGCTGCCCTTTCAACCACACATTTAGCTGAAACCAAAAATGCATATTTAATAGAATTGAGAGCACAGAAAGGAAAATGTAATTACTGGTATGAAAAACAGCTATCACACAGGCATATGTATTTTAGAAAACTGCTGTTTAGTATGTAGTGTTGCAAGGATTATTTTAGTAAATAATTTTTTCCTGCGTAACTGTTACATTTCTCATCAGTTTCTCCGATCATTTTGAAAAGGTAAAGGAATACAATTGATTTGACATTATAGATGGAAAAAATTACAGTATGTATACACTTCACATTAGAGTACTCAGAGTGCCATTTTGTCACTAAGTGGTATGAGGATTTTAAAATATATATAAATATAAATAGGTATAAATACATATTAATAAATATAAACAAATATAAAAATATATATGTAAATGTTGTGCAGTACTAACAGGCACTGCACAGGGAAGGGACGAGAAGCATGTTAGTTCACTTATTGGAGGAACATTCAGTCCTTCATTCTTAATATTATGTTGTAGGATTGTTGTAGGAAAATTCAGTGAGGGACCTCAGCAGGTCTCTCATTTAACCTCCTGCTCAGGGTAGGGTAGTTCTGAGGTCAGATCCCTGCTCAGGGCTTTATCCAGTCAGGTACTGAAAGCCGCCAGTGATGGATACTGTGCAGCCTCTCTGGGCAACCTTTTCCAAAACTTGACTGTACTTATAGTGAATAAGTTTTCCCTAAATCCTATATGGACCACACTTGAGAGCAGTGATGCATGTAGCATTGCATGTCTGAATTCGAGATTTCTTGTCCTTCCCGTCCCCTAAATCAGCAGTATGTTCAAATCTTTCTTCATCCTTTTTACATGGTCCAGATAAATTGCTCTAGAGTAGTACTGAGGACATAACGTCTGTAGTGATGTCTGCCTGTATAAAAGCCTAAAGAAACTTATGGTGGTGCATCAGCAGCTTCCTGCTCAGGCTTCCCTTCCCACCTTTTTTTATTCTTTTGAAAATACAAATCAATGCATAATTTTTAAACAGATTGTACAGAAACCAGAAGTCTCACTTTGCTTGAATCGCCTGTCACTGAGAACCCCTGATCCAGAGAGTTCATCAGTGAGATTTGTGCTGTGGGAAAGTACATAGACTTTTTCAGTACTCAATTTCATCATTTAAGTACTTCTGATATCCTTGGGAACACTTGTTTTTTCTTAAGTGAGAAATAATTACAGTAATGCCAGATGTTGTTATTACACTGTTAATTATTGTTTAACCGGAAACATAATTCTTAGCATTGTATGAAACGCAACCGGTGCTTTTTTTCATCTATAGATGAGAGCGGGAATATTTGCTGTCTTTGTACTAGGGTATGTTCATATTTTACATTGAAAGACAAGATGCCAAAGATTGTGGTGAAGTTTCGTAGGAAAGGCAGCATGTGAAATGTGTGTTTCCTCAGATTTCTAGAGGGTTACAGCAATTGCCTGTAATGGGGCCATATTTTCAAATCGCTCTTTGTCCTATTTCTAAAAACTGTCCATCACTCAGTGAATTTCTTCAAAGAACAGGTATAGCAGCATGCTATCTTCACGGCTAGAAATGTAAGAAGTGGGAAAATTGTCTCGTGGAAGTTTGTTTACACTTATCGCTGAAGAATAATTAGGTACTTTTTGACTCTTGTCATTTGTCTTATTGAGTAAACTGTACATTGGAAACAAGCTAGCCACTTATAAACTTTCCCAGCTATGTAACTTCATAAAGTACAGCACTTCATCAAAGCGGATCCATTAACCCTCTGACTGGTACTCTTCTCTCGGCTTTGATTGCAGCACCACACAGAAGCACCTAGCCCATCATTGCTACCCCCATCAGCTTTACCGTTAGATGTATTAAACAACGCCGTTGCTGGATTTAGTACTGTGGAAGAACTCATCCGGTACCTTGAACCAGATCGGTGGCAACTGGATTTGGAAGATTTGTACAGGCCAACGTGGCAACTTCTTGGAAAGGCATATATTCATGGGAGGAAATCAAGAGGTAAATTACTCTTCTGTCTGGCCTTGCAGCTTTCTACGGGTGTGTTTTTTTAACAAAGAAACAGTAATTAAGAGCATTCTTCACCTGGAATTTTGGTTCCAAGAAAAGAATATGTTAGAAATACAGCAGAGATCATTGTTGTTAGCTATTCTCATCATTATATTATCTGAAAAAGGACAATAACTAAACTCAAAACTTGAAGGAATTTAGCAGGATAAAGTAAGGAAGGTAAAAAAAAATATAAGCAGACAAGGGAGTTTTCTGTAGGGAACCTGGGAGATCTTTGTTTCCACAAAGTAGCAGGGCATCTTGGCTGGGTGACATAATCTAACTTTGCGGGTTTCTTTTATTTATGGATGGCAAAAACTTTATTTTTCGTTTGGGGTCAGTAATTTCTTACACTTACTGTGTAACACATGAACGATTGGTTTATTTCCTTAGAATCGTTCCAGTCTCTACACCATATGAATTGAGAACAATTAGCTAAATGTTTCTCTTCCATGATACCTCATGAAATCCCTGTGTCCATGTCCAGTTTGATCATGCAGTTGTCAACTTAATCAGATGTAGATTATGTATTTCATCCCTTGTGGAGCTATTTCTTGTTCAGCACGTAATTTTCTTTCATCTACATTTGACATTCATGAATTTTCTACCACATATCATCCAGATGCTGCCCACTATTTCATGTTTATGGATTCCATGTGGATGGATAGCATGCGGGCAATACCTCCTTCCTTGCCCCACCATAAAGCATGAAAATGAAAACATATGAACATAACTTAATAGACTCCTCTGTTGACAAATGTAAATTTGATTATCATCTGGTCAGCAAGAAAAGGGAGGAAGTAAAACCTTTCATAACTCTAAATTTAAGTTTTTGACAGCTAATTCTTGGGTCAGAGCCTAAAAATCAACCCTTCTACCCTATCTGTATCGCTACAGCAATATTACACAGCAACTAAATCAAGAGTCAAAGAGGAGGAAATCTCTTTAAAAGCTTTCAGCAATGGACCATGCCTTTCAGGTAGTCATTTAACACTTTCCTAATTAAAGAGATTCAGTATTTGCCAAATGTATGCCATAAGCATACAGTAAGTGGGAGAAAAACAAAATGTAATTTGTGAAACCTTACATAAACTAAAATGCAGGTGTTGGATAACATCTATATAGACAAAAGCAACTCCCTGCAAGACATATCTTAGAAAGAAACTATCAGAGTAAATCTTTTAGAGACGTCTAATTAGACGCTGAAATAGATTTTTCCACTGAATAAACATATCATGGTAGTGCCACATTTATCTTTAAGAGACCACCCTCAGACTGCATTACCGAGTGTGTAATGTAATAGCCTGAGGCGGAAAGTATGTCCAGTTGAGAGGACATAGTATTAACTGTTAGGTCTATTCAATAGATAGGGAAAGCAAACCTTTATTTTTTTTCTTTTTATTTTCTTCCTCTTCTTTTAATGTTATTCCTTCTAGTAGTACGTTTGCTGTATTTAAAAGCTTTTTTAAGAAATGTTTGGGAGAAGTGCATGCCCTAAAATGTTTGTTTTTTTCAAACTCTTTGATTCTATAATTAGATCAGTTTTATTTTTGCAATATTTCAGTGTAAAACCTAAATTACTGTCCTACTTTCATAGACAAACATAAGTTTGCATCTAGATTAAATGAAAATGTAATTAAAAGTGTATGTTACTTTATGTAGAGAATAGTATTGTCCTCTACTCCTACTTAATAATTCATATGAAAAAGACTATATTTAGACAACCTAAATTCCACAGAACTTCTGTGTCTGATGTTTTCTCTGGATAAAATGCTTCCAAAAACTTCTAGCCAGGAAAGAAGTAACACCAAGTTCAGAGGCTTTGATGTCTAAATATAGTCCTAAATTCTTTTATAATATTAAACATACTTAAAAATAAAATACATTTTGCTGTGCAAAAAAATGGTCCCATCGCTTCCCACAGAAATCTATGCATAATCATTAGACCATATTCTGAAGTCTGCTTAAGGAGAAGAAAAGAGTCACAATCCAACCATAGTCCTTAGTAGATACTTTTCTTGTATAGTTATGCGCCTTCTTTTTTTTTTTTAAACTCCTCATTCGGGGTTTTGTAACAGCCCTGTCCTATTGTAGAAGCCAGTACAAAACTTACACCCCAGGAACATCTCCAAGGTGCTTAGGAATGAAAACCATCCTGCTGCTATCTGTGCCCACACACAAGTGCCTCAACCAGAATTTGTCTCATTGACTTTGAGAGCAGCATCCAGCTGGAAAATTGTTTTGGGAAAGAGGGTTCCCTGTGCTACTCGACACACGTCCCAGAAGATGCCAGACAGTTGCATTGCTAATTGCAGAACACAGTTACTTTCAGGCTGGTGTGAACATGGATTACTTCAGTTGCATGTGCCAGTGAAGGCACACTTTTGAAATAGACTTTACTGTAGACCTACCTGCATCTACATTTTTTTCCTCCCTTTTTTTTCCTTCTCCCCTTATTTTTATTTTAGTGTTTCCCATTCATGTGCTACTGCAGAGCCTTCCATTCCTCCTGAGCTAGTGCTAGACAAAAGAACTTTGACTGTTGTGTCAAACATGATACATGAGTGGAAGCCAAGTTGAAGGAGTGTTTAAATGTTCACATTATAACAGGTACTGTAACTCAGTGCACTTGGGAAATCCACATAACCTTTTATTGTGGTTAAGTAAACACTTTTAAGGGAATATATACATTCTCTCATCTAACTTTGTGCCCACAGTGTGTTAAAATAAATTTTGGACAGACAGATACTCTTTGAAAAAGTAACAGCTCCATTCACACACTTCAAAGAAGTGATTATATAAGCACTAGATAAATTTGCCACAGACCTTTTAATGAAATTGAATGACATGAGGTAGGGCAAGGGTTCATTGTGAGGTATAATAGCAATATACCTTAGTACATTGTAAAGCATGGAAACCAAACATGACATTTTTCATCTCTCCTGAAGCCTGTTGTAACAGTAAGGCACACTAAAATCTATCTGCCAAGAGCTGATTGGGTGTTCTTCCACAGAACCTTTTTAAAATTTGGGCCTGCAAGTCTGAGGGGTTCAGTTCAAATTCATTCCAATTTTGTGACAAAATGTGTAATACACTTGCAGCTCATTTTAGTGCATTGCCTTTTCCTCTATGTTATAACTACAGCTAGTATCAGGAAATGGATGCATTCCTCAACTGCTGCCAGTAGGCAGGAGGTAACAGAGAAGCACAACGCCACACAGGCATCTCTCTCCCGCTGGTCAACGGGGCTTGCTGGAAGAGGCATCAGTGCCCAGCTTCCGTTTTCAATTTCTCATGGTGAAGGGCTGAGCAGCAATTGTGTTAAGATGCATAAGCTTAGCTCCTTGATATTCGCTGTACCAAGCATGTGAGCCTCTATAGAAATCTACCAGTAGAAAGTATTAGCAGAACTAGCATTTCTCTCATTGTGTTTTAGGCGTTTTATCCTCATTCAGACAGTTCACTTATTATATGTTTGAAAATGTAACAGGAGAAAGAAGTATTCCATTCCTATCCAGAATCCTTGATTAATGGAGGTAGACATGTCCACCTTCTAAATGACTCAGCCTAGAGCTATTAGCTGATCAGAAGAACTTAAATCATTTCTAGTTTCTCACAGTGAATCTCTCCCCCGGAAGTTTTGTCTCTCTTTTCCTCTGCTCCCTTCTCAGCTTTCTCTAAGGAATGCTCTTGCAGTGTGGGAGGCAGGCTGGAGTTCTATCAGTAACTTTATTGGAGTTATTACACAGTCCTTGCTTTTAAAAATCAGATTGTTTATTTAGGAGCCTTTGTTAACCTGATAGTGATGGAATGAAGTGCCCCAGCTTGGCATTCACTGTGAGTGCAAGGAGAGAAAAGGCTTCAGTGTCCTTTCACAACAATAAACCCTTACTTCTGGATGCCAGTATATGGATATGGTTTGCAAATTAAATGTTTGAAGAAACATGGAATGAAATTGCTGCCCAAAGATCTGCTCCTGAGACAGTACTAGTGAGCATTTCTACTAGAGAAATGCAGCTTCTAAATTACCTTTACTTCTTATGTGTTTAAATAGAATTGAGAGGTATTATCTTGCCTTGATAGGCGGAAGTTCTCCTTGGTGACCTCTAGAGGCTCTTTACATAGTCAGTAGAGGGAAAAAAGGTATTTCTCTAGAGAGTGATTCAGATCTGGAACATATTTTAGCTTTATTTTATATCTTTTTATTTATGAACTGCTAGCAATAACTATAAAGTATTTGTCAAGTAATATCAATGCACTGGGATTTTTTTTTCCCTATTTTCTTCTTGATGTAGCTCAAAAACTCTTGGTTTAAAGCTCTTTGCTGCTTTGTTCGAGACCTCTCTTTCAGTCGTCTCAGTAGCCATATTATCATAGAGCTTTCTTTTTATTTTTTTATTTTTTTTTTTTTTCCCAGATGGAGTACACCCGTGAATTAGACATTACTTCTGTTCCTTAATGTTGGAGAAACAGTGCAGACAAAAGATCCCAGATCATGATCATTATAGTCTAGCTTTTCTGCAATAAATGAAATTACATTGCTTTTCACCAAAATAAAAAAATTATTTTTTTTTTTACTAAACCAATCCCATTTTTTTTCAGTCTTAACTGCCTCTTTTGAGGCCTGTTATTTCTTGGCTATGCAGCTAAAGCGAAAGTAAAGGAGCTTGCCCCGTTTCAGATCTTTTCATGAGCTTGCTCTTCAGCCATCGGCATAGTGAAACTTCAGTGTGGTACAGTGGAACCAGTTTATAGGGAAACTGGTGCCAAATATTAATATCTTTAACTTGCACTTCAAGTTAGGTGCTTACAAGGAGGAGCTGTATTTTATTTAAGACACATCAAGTGAAATGAAACCTAGAGAAGCAACAGAAATTCATATATATGCTGCTATGAAGGAGGAGGGGAAAAATGGAGTCTACTAATAGTTATATAGATACACATACTTGTGCACTTATTTGTTGTCTGTACAGTATTCACCGATGATGACATACCTTCTTGAAGTTCTTAGTCCATAAAAGTGAGTTCCTCTTAGATATAAATAATTTGATTCTTTCTTATATTTACATCACCCTTGCAAAGAAGCAATAATTGAAATCTTAGCAGGTAAGAAGTTTGAATGCTTTATGCAAATGCATTAAAGATGGGTTTGGAGGTCTGCAGGATTCTTAATTGTTGTGTGTGTTTCTCCAATCCAAAATTAATATAGAATAGCAACACTAGAGCTCAGAGTATGAGCGTGAACAAAGGGAACTCCATTAGGGTTGATTTGATAAAACATTTATTGGAACATAGTAGCCAAAGCTTGCTTTCTTTAATTTGAACCAACTTTGCCAGAGTTATAAAATAATTGGTGAATATTCTTACACAATGATCATTCCATTTAGCTTTCATGGTATTCATATAACTGCAGTATTATACTTGTGTGCTGAACCTGTACCACCTGCACAAAAATGAACTTTCCTCAAGGGTTCTGCACTGTTGAAGTTGGTTTACCACCAACGAAGTTGGAGTATGAATCAGAAAAGCACCACTTTGTTTGTCTTTTTGCAGTGGTTGATCTCAACCTCCTAAAGGAGGAGGTGCGGCTGTATAGTTGTACTCCTCGCAACTTCTCAGTGTCACTGAGGGAGGAGCTGAAGCGAACTGACACCATCTTCTGGCCATTGTGTCTTCTGGTTAAACGCTGTGGTGGAAACTGTGCCTGTTGTCATCAGAGTTGCAATGAGTGCCAATGTGTACCAACAAAAGTCACCAAAAAATACCATGAGGTACGCACTTTTTTTACATTTGCATGTTTGGAAATACTGAAAGCCAATTAAGGAATTTATTTTTACTATAGGAATGCACCAATATTAATATTTTAAAATTTTTTTGTATTGCACTTATAGTAAATAATTTTTTACCATTTTAATGAGGTGTTACATTAAAAAAGTAGTATCTTCCTTGTTAAAATATTTTTCTGTGGAACTATTAAGTCATTCCTGAGGTATTTGTTTACTGGTGCAGTTCAGACACATCACAACCACACCTCCTTGGTCAGCTTTCTCTAGTGGTAGATGTGAGCTTTATGAAGGAACAGGTATCTGTCCATTTCCATTGTTATAAATCTATAGCTAAAATTATTTATTATAGAATTATCTAATAATTCCATTGGGTTAACTATACTATTAGCCCTTAAATAAAATTAAGTAGAAACATGAAACTGCAAGACTCTCTTCTTTGATAAAAGCAAGTATCTGTTCAACATGTTTTAATCAATTTTGTAAAGGGCTTGAGGTAAAAGCAAGAATAATAATTAGTGGGTGGAAAAAATGAAGAAATTCAGCTGAGGAAAGCCTATTTCTTTTAATAGGCTTCCTGTCATCCAGTGTGTTTCCAGTCAATCTAGCTCATTCTCTAGGTGTGTGATGAAACACTTGCTGTTTTCTTGATGCTTGGCTTCTTCTCCTTCAGGTTCTTCAGCTGAAGCCAAGGATTGGCGTCCGGGGATTGCATAAATCACTGACAGATGTACCCTTGGAACACCATGAGGAGTGTGACTGTGTGTGCAAAGGGAATACTGAAGGATAAATATGATTTAATTGTGCTGTTTTCTTTCAAAGCACATTCAATCAATGGCTGATTCTATTATGGGGCTTGTGCATTATCTCCTTCTGTAATCTCAGTTGTTTGCTTTGGGGATCTTCCATCTTCAAGATTTACAGTGAGCTCTAAAAAGAGGAGAAGCCAAACTGGGATTATATGTTGTGTGACAGCTCTGTTTGGAGGCCCAGTGAAAGGATGGGAGAAAGGCATCAATGAGGGATTTAAAATATATGTATTGTTTTTGTCCCCCACAATTTTCTTGACAATACATGGATTTATAATTTAGGAGTAAAAATAAAGTTAGAAGGCTCGCATCACGGAGACTTGATCCTGCTGGCTGTCTCATTTCTACAGCTCCAGTACATCTGGCCTCTGGTGGAAAACACCTGAAATCTTTCTTTCTGTGTTCAACTACTTCTGTTGTATAAACTTGGGTTAAAACAGACTGTCTTGTTCCGAATTAAACTTAATTTGTCTAATGCTGGTAGGAAGGACTGGATTTTTCCATACGCTCTAGTAAAGCTCCTGCCTTTTAGAAAGAAGACTGGACAATAACATGAGCTAAGGAAGCAAACATTGAAAAGAACAGTGCCTTTATTCTTACTACTATGGCTGATGATTTTTTTGTTTGTTTGTTATTTTTTTATTGTGTACATTTTTATACTCTCCTTTTGACAATATAACTATTTGCTTTTCTAAACTTGTTAAATATATCTATTTTTACCAAAGGTATTTAATATTCTTTTTTTATTACAACCTAGATCAACTATTTTTTAGTTTTGTGAGACTTTAAAGCCAGATTTATACAGTTGGAGGAACAGAGATGTGGTTACAATGGGAAAGGAGCATGATATCTTTGCAGTTTGTTGCTACACAGTGAAAAAATACATTTATTTTTTTTTTTTTTTACCTGGATGCACAGTAATAATAAACAGAGATGTGTGGATGAAGCTCTAAGGTTGCTAGCTCCGTGACACTGAAAATACGAGAGACAGACGTTACTATAAGTGGTTTCAGAAGCTGACTTTAAAAATTCCCTCTCTCCATTCTGGCCTTTGTTCCAGTAGAAAAGAAATGAGCGTAGATAGATGCATTCTGGCTTGTTTAACTCTTTAATTTCTTTAAAGTAGGATGATCTACAACGTAAGAAAAGAAGCCCAGTGGCTTGCAGCCTTCATGACGCATCATGGTCATGGGAAGACAGCCTTTTTAATGTTGAAGTGTATGGTTTTCCATTGACGGTTATAGCTGTTTAAGTACTGTTCACTCACAGGATTGTAACACTTTTCAGTACAGTTTGATGAACTATGGTTTTGTTCTGTACATTATATTCTTTAACCAATACACTTATCCCACCCTATGCAAATTGAAAAGGAAACAGTAAAGTATTTTGCTTGTAAAATGCTTTAACATTATGCCTAGTTTATTTTTTTGACTATTGGATTTGCAGATTGTAATGAATCACCAAATAAAGTAATAATGCTAATTTTGGGAGAATAAATGTTTCTGTGTGGTTGCATATTTGTATCTGTTCAATATACAATAACAGGAAAAGTTAGAGAGGATGATTTTCTACTTACTATTTTGAAAGTTAGTTGTGAAAACAAAAGTCTTTTGTTACCAAGTCTTCCACTTGCTTTATTAATTCTGCTTTAGAATTAATTTAGAAATCCACAAGAAGAAAAAGGGGAAAGAAGGCATATGATGCTATTTGTATAAACATTCAAAATGTTCAAAATTGTGTGGATGTGAAGCCATCAAGTTGAAATAACATCTTCTGTTATTGTTTCCATCGTGAAAATGAGTTCTGATGAAATGTAGAGGTTTTTGCAAGTTGGTATGACTTTCTGATATCAGTTCTGGAAAATTCTCAGGTGGCTTCTGATGCTGTCTTAGCTGGTCTGTTTTGCCCCACCCTCAACCTCCTACTGAATATGAAAAATATCTGGTGTAAATGTGGCATATAATTATCCAGTCTGAACATTAACCCTGTATCAGAATGCAGAATTATGGTCACATAAGAAACCTGGTTTACTTGAATTTTGAGTCTTTGACCAGAATAAAGAGTGTTTTGCAGGGATGCGGGGGGATTTTTTTTGGTGTTAGTATTGTCCTTTTTTTGTGATTTAAAGAGCTTTTGAAAAGCAAGTTGAGATAAAAGCAGAAATCATAGCCTCTGGCATCATAATTCAGCAGAAGAATTGAAAAATGTAATTCCATTACAGAAATTTCTGCTGTAGGAAATGCAGGAGGTCTCATCCTCTCTGTAGACTTGCTAGTGGAAGAAGGCACGACATGCGTTTTGGGGTAGGTATTTGGTGGCAGCATAAAAGTGGGGAGTTTCTGGAACCAGACAGGGTATGGAGGGTAATGTTTTCCAAAAGTCGCAAGTACTTCTTCTATTGCCCCCCTCCGGCTTTGGCTCACTTTCTTCCTTGCCAATTTCTTGCACCAGTTTCCTTCCCAATTGCTTGCTATAGACCTGCATTTGAACGCCTTATCCCTTTGCTCTTTACATTCCCCTTCACAGTGCCGTCTCTCTCAGCTGATCCAAAAATCACCATCCCTCCTGTTTGCCATCCAAAAAAATAAGCTCTTTCCCCTCCTTGGCTCTGTGCTGAAGCTGTGTCTTCTCACTGCCACTGCCTGGACTTTGTTTTTCTGCCTGCCCTCAGATGTTCAGGGGATTTAGCACTCCACCTCTTCCCCAGCTTAAAGAGCTTGAACGGGATCAGTTGTTTTAAAGGGTAGGATTTAGGAAAGATACAAACCGAGCGAAGCAATGAAGGGTGCAGTTTTCCTGCTTTGGGCTACATCCTCTGCCCTGCTGGGTGGAGCAGCTGCCCCCCGGCGGTGGATAACTTCTGCTGGTGACCTGACGGGACGCACCCGTACTGCATCCTGCCTGGGTGCGGTAGGCCTGGTCTAGAGATCCTGCCGAGTTCGACATGGTCTTTGCATCCAGAAGAGTCTTAAAATGTTTTGAAGATGTCCTTCTGACAGTGCAGGGGAGCTGCTGTCACAACAATAAATCACGTTGGTGACCACCTGTTGGCAGGAAAAAGCGAGATGAGGTAAAATATGCGGGACGAGGTGAAGACAGGTGAGGGGGCGTGGGTGGGCCGGGCCGGGCCAGGGCCGCGGGGGGGAAATACAGCGGAAAAGGGCAAGAGAGAAACACTGCTGATGACCGTGGTCTCCTAATTTGCTGAAGCTCCTAATTTGCTGACAGCTCCCCCGCGGTGAGGCCTGTAGCTCCCTGACACCTTCCTCCCTTGGGAGGTTTTGTCAGCCCCAGGTGCAAGGCTGTCCTTAGCAGGCGGTGCGGGGATGGTGCCAGCCGGCAGAAGGGATGAAACAGGGACGTGCACGGCTCTGGGTTTAATTGGGATGCCTTGAACATTGCTGGTATTTGGTCTTAAACTTTGAAAAATACACTTGATATAAAACTTCAGAATTGCACGTAAGAAATGTACTAATTATGGTAGGTACAGTTTTAGCATAAAGGGATTATTTCACACTGTACTTACAGAAACAATTGCCTAACTCTACCTTTCCTAATTTGCTTAAAATTCCCCCACTGAGAGGTTTTAATTTCTCCCCTGAAGATTTTCTTAACCAAAGATGAAATTTTTCAGTCAGGTGTTTCTGAGGAGTGTTAACTTCTTGTGGCCTCGAAGTGAGACGAGGCTTTTTATACCTCCAGTTACACACAGCATTCAGGAAATGCTCCTCTGAGGGTTTTGTTTCCTTATTATTATTGTTTATGTTCTGTTGTTTCTAAGAAAAAAGTGTGGTAAAAACTAGCTGAAGATATTAATCATGAATTATTAACAAGCAAACAACGGTGCCTTTCACAGTTGCAGGTCATCGCAGCTGAATGCCAAGGATGCTGTATGTGTAGAAAAAGATTGACAGAAGTGGGTAGAAAGCCCATGATTTTCAATGTGGAATAGAAGTTGCAAGCTTTGAGCTTACATCTTTGTGGAGATTTGTTTAAGTTGTTGCTGTCTATTTTAAGTCGTGAGTTGCTGAACTGCATTAATGTAAGCGTCAGTGTTTGGGAATAAAGAGGGAACTGACTGTTTCTAATGGGCCTAAGCAGTGGAAACAGCTGAGTGGAATAAAGTAGCTCCTGTAAACAGACAAAATCCTAATAGTGTAGGCTGCATTTTGTAGGTTTTATCGTATTCCCAATAAATGGCTTTGGCTAAAAGTAATTATTCCCCCCAGAGGAATAGGTAGGGAGCTGCCAACCGATGGTGAGCCTTGTTTTTACGGATTCTGTAGATATTCACATTCCCGGAACCCTCCTGTCAGCCATGGCCGGCATGGGAGTGATGTGGAGCAGCACCAAAACTTTAGTCACCAAGGGCGTTAACTGCAGATCTGTTGGCTCTTAAACTCTTTTAAGTTTTCTTGCTCTTTGTCTGCTGGGTTGCACAGGCTCACAGTTCCTTTTCAGCAGAAGAAGAGAAAAAAAGTTGTGGATGATACAACAGAGTGTGTGGAGGGGAAAGACAGACAGACAGAAGCACGAAGCTACCTTATTTAGTAGCTACTGCATCAGCTAATGTAAGCTGTCACCCAATTTCCTTTCTAACGGAGGACTGTGTTGAAACTCTCATAAATTTGCAATTCAGATACAAGCTGCTTAAAAATAGTCTCATTTTGTTTGCACCAAACTTTGGAAATAAAAATTGGAAACATTTACTTTCTGTTTGACTTCTGAAGGTACAGTAGCAGAGATGCTAAAAGAATCGTGATTGCAAGATTCTCATTCAAACTAAGCTCTGAAGCTAAGTAGACCAACTTACTTTTCTGATGCTGCTTGTGATATGATATTTAAATTAGTTTGAGTAAGTTTGCTCTTCATATCATTTTTTGTATGGGATGCTTTATCAGACAACTTGCCTTTCAAAGTCCTTTCATGCACCTTTTAAACCCAGGGACAGTGTTTTTATTTCTTTGCCTGCCAAAATCAACAGATTAAAAATATGGCTACTTTTTTCAGCGTAAATTGGACAAGGCTTTTTAGATAATACAGTTTGCCTATTGCCTCAGTGGAACTCCTCTAGATTGTTGAAAGAAAAGTAAGTTTACAGCTCAGTTATGGGAGAAAGATGACAGCTTTTTTGAAAGTTTGATTCAGAGCATGCAAGCTAGATTCCTGCTCTGAGTCTTGCTCCATGCCAGTCTTCATAGAGCTTGTCTGTCTTCATTGAGTACAGAGTCAAAGTATGGTCCTCCCAGTTGAGGAAGCTCTGTTAGATGCATGAGGTTAATCAATGGGAATACCCCATTTACAGGGCTGTTTTCTGAACAAAACATCTCTTTCTCAAAGAAGAGTCTCAAGAACTTCTGCAGCCTGGAATGTTTTCCATATAGCCAATTTGGCAATCTTTTTTTTTTTTTGCCTAGTGAAGTAAAGGCAGAAGTGCCAGTTCAACTCAAGCCCATGCTGCCTTCCTCAGATTCT